TGACAATTACCACAGATTTAACACTTAAAGCAACACTCATTCAGTAGTTCACAAGTTTGTCACTCAGAAACTTGACAAGGTGCGGGTGAATTCTCTGCTCAGGATTTTATGACTGAAATCAAGGTATTACCTGAAATCTCATGTGGATCTGGATAAAAATCTGCTTCTGGACTAATTCTTGGCATTGGCAGATTTCAGTTCCTTGTGGACGTAGTACTAAGCTCCATCTTCCTGCTGGCTGCTGGCCAAGACTGGCTGTCAGCTCCTCAAGCCCCTGCCATATGAACCCTTCCATCAAATTCTTCCCATGTTTGAATCTCTCACTCTCTTCTACCACCAGCTGGAGGAAACTCTATAATTTTAAAGGGCTTAGTGATTAGGTTAGGCCCACCCAGATAACCTCCCTTTCTTAAAGCCCGTTATGCCATATACTATTATCATGGAGGTAAAATTGATCACTTAGTCCTGAGGATTAGGGTGAGAAATTTTAGAAGCCCTGAAATAATTCTGCTTAAGTTACTGTAATAAACAGCTTGGTGCTGTTTCAGAATATGTAAGTACAACAAAAGATAAACAGGACCATTTATAGTATGAGGAATACAGTAAAAGCTAAGATAGCTCTTCAATAAAGTATGGGCTAATTAATAGTTTGGGAACATATTTTGGAAGGAAACAACATTCTGCATCAAACTACATTTCAATTTCTGAGGAACTAAAATCTTAAATGTAAAACGTAAAATGATAAAATTACTAGAAGAAAACATGAATATCTTATAAACTTGGAATGAAAAATGCCTTTATAAGAACAGTGTTACAAAACTCAGACAAAAGTGATTATTGATTATGTAAAAATAAACATTTCTGAACAATGAATGAAGTTAAAATATAAATGACAAATTACAGAAATTGTTTAAACATGAATAACAGTAAAAACATTATGATCTTTAGTATGTGTCATCCTTAACAATAAAACCTTATCATCCTTAATATGTAACTCTTAAAATGAGTAAGAAATGGAAAAGAAATCCAAAAAGAATGATCAAAGGACATAAAAATAAATTCACAAGAAACAAATGCATGGACAATAAAAATACAAAAATAGTCACTAATAACCAAACAAATATAAATTGCAAAACAGAACATTTTCATTTTTCAGATTGTCAAAAATTAAAATGATTGGTAACCCTCCAAATCTGCAAAGTTGAAAACCACAAATTGTTGGTAGGATTGCAGATTGATAGAACTTTCCTGAAAGACAATCTAACAATTGGTATTAAAGAGTAAACTGCTTATCCCGTTTAATAACTGCGATTCCATTTCTAGGATTTTAGATACGGCAAATAAAGATGTACATACGCACATGCTCCATGCATGTGCAGAGAGAAAATAGAAACAACTTAAATATCCACCATTAGGAAATGGAACACTTCAATTATACACTGAAATTCTGTAAACATTAAAAACAGGAAGACCTCTATATATTCACATAGGCAGATATTTACTATCAAATAAAAGAAGGTAGGTCCAAAAAGTACAGATAGTTTGATTCCATTTTTGCCTTTAAATATGGTATTTTAAAATTCACTATTTAAAAATCTCTAAAACTGCACATGGAACTGACAATAGTGGTTATTTCTGGAAGTAGAATTGTCAAGTGGGTGTGTGTGGTGTGGTGAGGAACAGGGAGAGATCCATGACTGGTAGAGTGGGAAGTTGTATATACTTTATCTATTTGAATTTTTAAAATATACTGATTTTGTAACATAAAACATCTACTTTTTGGGGTAAAAGACAAGATGACCCATGTGGTTAATGTATAAAACAAGTTAAAGAGATCAAATTTCTGTCATTTCTAAGTATTCTATTGCTGATACATTAAAGTGATAAAAGCACTTGAAAACCACATTATGTATAGGCAAAGAAAAAAAAGAATGCCTTTACTGAAACAAATGAAAAGGTTAATAATATCACATCAGAGGCAAAGTGATACCATTTGAAACTGTGCTTTTTATTTATCAGTTCCAAAGTATCTATTGATGCTTTCATTATACAAAGGATTCAGTGTTACATACTTAGATATAATTAAGGCATAATTCCAGCCCTCAGGAAATGTATTTGGTCAAGACAAATTTGATCAAGAAACAAGTTTTACAAATAGGTGAACAGTTCGAAATAATGCAGTTACAAGTAGAAAAATATTTATTAAAGAAAAATAAGAATTATGGTTATGAAGCATGCACAGGTAGCCTCATCTGGAAAAAGTTTATGTACAAGGTGGTGCATGAGGTCTTTTACATTAGATAACTTCTTAGTTCCCTGTCAGGTTCTCCACCTGGAATGACACAGCCAATTTTCCTCCTCCAAGGGTCAAAATGCTGCTCATCCAACAACTACCACTAAGCATAAAGCATTAAACATTCATTGTCGCTTGTACTTATCATTTACACTTAGTTGTGTATCTTACAGACAAAATGGTAAGGCCTTAAGAGCAGAAACTGCTTAAGTCATCTCTGTATCACTGGTGACCAGTGAGGTGTCTTACACAGTGAAATAGGTGAATGGTAGGAATTGAAGAAAACATAAGGGATTTAGGCTAGGCTAGAGGGTTTATATAAGCAAACTCCAAGATAGAAAAGATAAAGCCTAGGTTAGTGCAGCATCTGACAAATGTTTTGAAGAATACATGCTAGATACCATCATCAGTCTTTTTGGGTCAAACGCAAACAAAAAAACAACAAAGCAACTATATTCTAGGAAAGACAAATGGCCAGATCTCACTTTTCAAAACTACTCACATTGTGAAAAGGCAGGAACAAATCTAGTTTCAAGTTCAGCATGCTGCAAAACACAACTGGCAGAAGTATTATTTGAAGCAAAAGTAATGTGTGAACTTGCTTATTTTGCTAAGCCACAATGTATTTCTCCAGGAATAGTATAAATTTGATGTCTTTCTTGATGTTTATGGCAAAGGAGTTTAAAATTGTTTCACTAAAAATTAAATTTCTATATTGTCAAACACGACAGTTTACTCAAATTTTAAAATGTGAAGGGAATATTTATTAAACATTTTTTGGGTATGCCACTATATTAAATCCTGGTAATATGATATAGCTTATTTCAAACTCTTTTCAACTGATACTTCCTTTAAGATAGCACTGACCAAAAGAAAGTTAATACAAGCTTTATGTATGATTTTTACACTTTTTATCGAAAAATAAACTGAGGAAGGCTACACTTTATTTAACCCACTATATGAAATAATACTGATTTTGCCAATATAAAAACTGAGATGGTTTACATTTCTTCGTATATCTTCAAAATCTGGTATGTATTTTATACTGGTAGCACATCTCAATTTGGATGAGCTACATTTCAAGGGCTCAATACCCACATGAATCCCAACCGTAATTGGCCTGCATCCTTCCACTGTCTAGCACATCTACTTGTAGACAACTGTGAACATCTGCTACTCTGCCAATTCTATATCCTATCATTATAAATTCAGATTAAGATATGCCACTAGCAGAATTTATTCATTACCAAATATTAAACTGTGAGACCAGTACTATGTCTGGCACTAAATAAATGGCAACACAAATGCTAACGTGGGAGCTCAACCATTCATCTATTTGCAAATACACAGGCAACAGTGAGTGGACAATCCTCCCTTTTTTTTCATATCACTTAACATGATTATTAATTTTCTTACTTATTGTGTATACATGCCCAGCTGTTCTCTTATGAGATGCCACAAGGGAAGGAACTACATCTATCTTGTTTACCATTATATCCTTGGGCCGTGGAAGAATGTGTTATACAAAGTAGACGGTCAAGTGTGTGGAAAATGAATAAATATGGCCATGCATTGAATTATCAGCTTCAACCAGCTTGTCATTTCAGTACGCTTTGTCAGTTAGTCAAGAGACATTCCATGCTTTCTGAAAGAAAGCAGTGAACAGAACAACTGTTTTCTCTTCAGCACAATATCTTACAGCCAACAAATGGGACCTAATTAAACTAAACAGCTTCTCCACAGCAAAAGAAACTATCATCAGAATGAACAGGCAACCTATAAATGGAGAAAACTTTTGCAATCTATCCATCTGACAAAGGGCTAATATCCACAATCTATAACAAACTTAAACAAAATTACAAGAAAAAAACAAACAACCCCATTAAAAAGTGGGCGAAGGATATGAAAAGGCACTTCCCAAAAGAAGATATTTATGCAGCCAACAAACAAATGAAAAAAGCTCATCATCACTGGTCATTAGAGAAATGCAAATCAAAACCACAATAAGAGATCATTTCACACCAGTTAGAATGGCAATCATTAAAAAGACAGGAAACAAGATGCTGGAGAGGATGTGGAAAAATAGGAACCACGGTTGGTGGGAGTGTAAATTCGTTCAACCATTGTGGAAGACAATGTGGTGATTCCTCAAGGATCTAGAAATAGAAATACCATTTGATCCAGCAATCCCATTAGTAGGTATATACCAAAAAAATTATAAATCATTCTGCCAAAAAGACACATGCAGACATATGTTTACTGCAGCACTGTTAACAATAGCAAAGACTTTGAACCAACTCAAATGCCTATCAATGATAGACTGGATAAATAAAATGTGGCACATATATACCATGGGATACTATGCAGCCATAAAAAGGGATGAGTTCATGTCCTTTGCAGGGACATTGATTAAGCTAGAAACCACCATTGTCAGCAAACTAACACAAGAATAGAAAACGAAATACCATATATTCTCACTTGTAAGTGGGAGTTGAACAATGAGAAAACATGGACACAGGGAGGGGAAATATCACGCACTGGCGCCTGTCAGGGGTTGGGGATAGGGGAGCATAGCATTAGGAGAAATATCTCATGTAGATGACGGGTTGATGGGTGCAGCAAACCACTATGGCACATATACCTATGGAACAAACCTGCATATTCTGTATAAGTATCTCAGAACTTAAAGTATACACACACACACACACACACACACACACACACACACACACACAAAGTAATCTGAAATTTCTCACTAGTCAGAATCACATTTAACCTGTCTTCATTAGACTCTACTCCAACAAACAACAAAATTAGAATGGCTGAGGCACAAATGAACAAGTACAACAAGACAGTCCTTTCCATCAACCTCTCAGATTTAAAAAAGAAAATAAGGACACACAGGCACCTGGAAGAAGAGAATAATGAATAGCAGTTACCACCAGGCAGTCAGTACTGGCATGGCTTTTAAGAGCTGTGAAGACTTCAGAAACTTCTTTGGCAAACCATTTTATGTTAAACAATAGAGATACTATAGAAACCATGATAAAGGAAAACCTAAAACTAGTTAATGTCCTGAGTTTTAAAAAAAAGCAATATAAAACAGCATGTAATAAGGTGAAACCTATTGAACACACACACACAATCAAATAATCAAAAACTATGACTCATTCTTTAGTAATATAATATATTACAAAGTCCTCTTGCTAGTCTTGAGACTGTAGATACTGTAGAAACAATTTTATGTAGAGTGCAAAACCTGGAAGAATATGAGAGTCGACAGTAAGAGCAGCTTTTTATTTTGTATAAAATGGCACTTTAACAATACTGGTTTTCCCCAAATTAACGTACAGTCAGCTTTATCATTTTAAGCACATCGAGCTGCCTCCAACTTATTTTCTCTTTTGTAAACTACTGGTATGCTTAAGCATTTCATATCACTCAAAATATTTATTCATCAATTGTATGTATATCTGTCTTTTAAAAGCTGAATCATATTTAAAATACACTAAAGAAAACTACTTTTCCTTTTTTTTTTTTGGTGAGTATTTCAAAGGTGGGGTAAATTCAGCCTCTTCACTGTGTTTTCTTTTCTTTTTTTTCTTTTTATGGTCACTTTGGTAACCACTGGAGTCACTGCCTTGGAAACTAGGGTCCTGGTCCTGATCTTTCTGTTGCTTTTTATTCTTCTTCTTCTTTTTCTTTGGCTCCTCCTCCCAGAGGTCATTCACATTATTAGTATTCTGCAGGGCTGATTCTTCCATTGGAGTGTCATCTCCAAAATCTGCTATCTTGGTGGTACCACTGTCCACTTCATATGTCTCTGGGTCTTTCTTCTTTTTCTTTTTCTTCTTAGTGGGTTTTTCAGCAGCTTCCTCAGTGCCATTTTCTGTAACTTCTTCAGACACTTCAGAGTGCTTGAATTGTAAACTATAAATTAACAGTTAAAAAAATTTAACAGAGCAATAAGCAAAAAACAAATAAGAAAATGAGATCAATATATTCTAACAGGCTAAGATTTTCTAAATAATCACAGCAGTACAAGACACCTAACCAAGGCATAAATTCCAAATATTCTATCCTGTTATCCTTCAACCCACTAAAATATATACGGGCTGCTGAATGTTAAATTGAAAAATGTTAAATTTAACATTAAATGTTAAAATCTTCCTTTTTTTTTTTTTTTTTTTGAGATGGAGTTTCGCTCTTGTTACCCAGGCTGGAGTGCAATGGTGTGATCTCCGCTCACTGCAACCTCCGCCTCCCGGGTTCAGGCAATTCTCCTGCCTCAGCCTCCTGAGTAGCTGGGATTATAGGCACGCACCACCATGCCCAGCTAATTTTTTGTATTTTTAGTAGAGATGGGGTTTCACCATGTTGACCAGGATGGTCTCGATCTCTTGACCTCATGATCCACCCGCCTCGGCCTCCCAAAGTGCTGGGATTACAGGCTTGAGCCACCACGCCCGGCCTAAAATCTTTCTTTATGAAGAACTTCTCCCAGATCCTTTCCATACATAAAAATGACATAAAAATCTTGTCAAAACATGTCTTCCAAGTTTGGCGTTGTTTCAGAAGAATTTGATCACTGAACATTAAACATCACAATACTTAGGCTTATTAACCAAACCACTGACATCTCATAGAAAATATGCTCCTGTATGTAACAAAGCAATGGAGTTTCCAGTCTATTTTAATCCTCTTTCAAATAGTAGTCTATTGTTTACTTAGCTGATACTAAGACAGTGTTACTTAAACACTGTGAATTATTTTATACTACTAAAATAAAACATGGATCAATGAAGGAGTTCTCTCTCCAGAACTTCAGTCTTACACAGTAGCATTAGGTACGTGTACCTAAGCAATACCAATGACATAACTTTAGAAATTCAGTTCCTCAGTCACACTAGTCAGTCACATTTCAATGCTTAATAGCGAGGCTACTGTATTATGCATATACACTATATTTTTGTCATCACAGAAATTACACAGCTGTTCTAGAACTTCAACACACATTCTTGTAATTTAAAGGCAAAATCTAGAAAAAGTTACTAGCAAAGGCAGCATTCTAAGAGTTAGTTGTCTTTCTCCTTCTTCCTTTAAACTTCACTCCCATGGAACCAAGTTCAAGATCAGAGTTTCTTATAATTTCAATACAGAATACAGAAATTAAAATATCTAACACAGATGACAATAATCAACACACTCTTTTGCATGTAAAAACAAAGCAAGCCAATAGCTTCAGGTTTAGAGACAGAATTAAAAAGAGTTAACAAAATAGAAAACACTCAGCAAAACTGAGCTATTAAATATTAAAATACGGACCAGCAAGCTAGACAGAGTTTTAGAGTATTTATTTGATGCACTGTTACAGATCACTCAAGAATACTGTTTATATTGACTTTATGGTCTGAAACCATGAATATTCCTATAAACAGGTATTTTTAAAGAGGGCTTATGTTCTCTAAATTCAGAATTAAATGGAAATTACTAAGTACCTAATGGTAATTAAATAATGATAAACTAACCTTGTGATATTTAGTTTTCCCCGAATGCAGAATACTCCAGCAGTATCTGAGTCTAAACGAAATACTTCAAATTCCAGTTCATCACCCATGTTTATCTCTATGGTTTGCCACTGCTCAGCTGACAACTGCTCAGGTTTAGGAATGGAGGCATTGAAACAGCCATGTACCAAACAGCCAATGTGGCTAGAAGACACTTTATTAACTATACCCTGGGAAGAAGAAGGAAGAAAGAGCATAATATAAAGAACAAATCCACAAAGTTAAAGGGTGAACCAGAGTCTACAAACTTCAAATAATCTTCAAAGAGCAAACATCAAATTAATGGTCTAATATGGAAAAGGTTTACCTCAATTAAAACTTAACACATCATGTCAAAACATCACTTTAGAATACCACTGGGTCTTGAGAAAGCTCAACTTAAATAAGCAATTGCAAATTAATTATTTAATTACTGTCTAATTACTGTCTAAAAATTAATTACTGTCTAACTGTGCACATGAACTGTTTAACTGGTTTAACTAACCTGCTCCCATCACCTCATCCAAGAAAAAAAACCACCTAGTCTCCCCACTGCAAGATGCCTTAGGAAGGAGATTATTACTCTTTAGCTACATTGAAACCAAGCAGAAAATACTCTTATATAGCCTATTAAAAGATCTCATATGTGTTTTATAACTGGGATCCATGTTATGTTTCCATAAAGACACCAAATTTCAAACTTAAAAATGCATTCTTTAATTATTTAATTTAGCACAATGCAAGCATTCCATTAGAAGACAGTTTATCCTTTACATGTAAACATTGACCATGGCTATTTTTGGCTATATCACAAAAGTATTATTAGAAGCTTTAAAGCTAAAATAAAAGTATGTGCTATATGATTTTAAGATGAGACTTTGAATAAAATTTGTTTTTCTTCTCAGGGTCAATATACACAAAGCATATGCATGAGATCTTGCAATATTAAAAAAAATCACATTTTCTGAATTATAGAACTGCAAATAATACTGACTTGTATACAATGCTGTTTAAAATTAGCAACCTTTTACACATGTGGCAGAATAAAACTTCCCTATTTGTCATAATCAGAAGTCTTAGTGTTCCCAATAGTAGTTTCCAGATGGTCTAGATAAACAAACTGGTACATCCTTAAAATAAAAGTTTATTCAGTAATAAAGATAAATAGGTTCTCACCATAAGAAGACATGAAGGAACCTTAAATGCATATTGCTAAGTGAAAGAAGTCAATTTGAAAAGGATACATACTCTATTATTCTTTTTTTAAAAGGCAAAACTATGCAGACAATAAAAAGACCAGTGGTTGCCAGGGATTAGAGAGGATGGATAGAAGGAAGGAGGGAGAAATGAGTAGGTGAAGCACAAGGGAGTTTTAGGAGAGAAAATCTATTCTGTATGATACTATAATGGTAGATAAGTGCCATGATACTTTTGTAGAAACCCATAGAATGTAGAACACAAAGACTGAACTCTAATGTAAACTACAGACTTTATTTGATAATAATGTTATCAACATTGGCACAAAAATTGTAACAAATGCACCATACTAATGCAACATAATGTTAATAATAGGGGAAAATGCATATTTGGGGAAGGAGTGGTTATACGGGAGCTCTATACTTTCCATTCCATTTTTCTGTAAACCTAAAACTCCTGTTAAAAGTCTATCAATTTTAGAAAATCAATGAAATAAAAGCCTTTTTAATGTATGAATCTAGAACAATGGGAAAGCTACATGAAGAAGAGAGTGGATCTCAAGGCCTACCTCACACTACACACAAAAATTATTTGAGAATGATCACAGACCTAAATGGAAAAGCTAAAACTAAAAGCTTGTAGAAGTTGACAGAAGAATATCTGCATAACGTTTAAGTGGACAAATTTCTTTGATAGGATCCCGAAAGCAATAGTCATAAAAATATAAAATGATAAATTGGACCTCATCAAAATTAAAAGAACCTGTTTATCAAATAATATCATTAAAACTTAACAGACAAGTCACAGACTGAAAGAAAATACTCATAATATTTATCTGAAAAGAATTTAAGACCAAAAGGAACTGCTACAATTCAATAATAAAAATACAAAAAAAACCCTATTAAAACTGGGCAAAATACCTGAACAGGCCCTTCTCATTGAAATATATGAAAATCTGCTCATGAGGGAAATGGAAATGCAAATGAAAACCATAATGAGATACCACTATATGCCCATCAGTAAAATTAAGAGACAACAGCAAATGTTAATAAGGAAACAGTGAATGGAAGTGTTGAATGGGAAATTAATCTGACAATGTTTTTATATAAACACCCTGTGACCTAGCTCTTCTACTTCTAGTTATTTACTTAAGAAAAATGAAAATTTATGTTTTCACTTATGTATCTGCAAACACGTCTGAAAGTATGTTTTCATTAGCTTTGTTCATAAAAGCCCCAGCCTAGAATCAATCCATCACTGAAGACAGATAATCACATTGCGATATAATCATATAATTGAATACCATGAGCAATAAAAAGGAACAAACTAGCAATACACACAATAGCATGGACGAAACTTAAAAACATGCTGATCAAAAGGCAGATTTCAAGAGTGTATAATGAATAATTCCATTAACATGGAATTATAGAATAAACAAGACTGACTTATAATAAAAGCATAAGAGTAATTACATCTGGAATAAAAAGAGGGAATTGGGCCAGGAAAGGACATGAAGGTCCTTTCTAAGGAGATAGAATGGTATACGGACCTGACAAAATTCACTGAACTGAACAATATGACCCGTACATTTTATAATACATAAATTTTATCTGGCCAAATATTATTAATAATATTTAAAGAAAAACTGGATAGTCGAAAATATTTGAGGACTGGATCTTGTAGTAGGTAGAATAAAAGGAACACTTTTCATTTCATACTTTCTATACAATTTTTTATTTCCATGTACATGCATATGTGTGTTATTTCTGTGTGTGTGTGTGTGTGTGTGTGTGTGTGTGTGTGTGTGTATTTTTAGCAACAGGGTCCCACTGCTGCCCAGACTCAAATGCACTGGCACAATCATAGCTCACTGTAGCCTTTAACTCCTGGGCGCAAGCGATCCTCCTACCCCAGCCTCCTGAGTAGCTGGGACTACAGATGCATGCCACCATCTGGCTAATTTTTTATTTTGTGTAGACACGAGGTCTCACTATGTTGCCCAGGTTGGTCTTGACCTCCTGGCCTCAAGTGATCTTCCTGCCTCAGCTTCCCAAAATGCTGTGACTGTAGGTGTGCTGCGCCTGGCCTACATGTTTATATTTAAAATATAATTTACACAAAGCAGATGAAAATTAAGTTTCTTAATTTCCAAATACAAACCTGTCAACTTTAGTAGTCCATTTATAAGATTCCAGATTAATAGGTAAAGGATACTATTTATATTAATTTGATACTGAAAAATAAACAAAAATTAAAAGTACTTTGTGGGTTTTGTCATGGTTAAACTGATCTATACTTTTATGAACCATATCAAGGGTTAGTTAACAGTGCTGATCTGTTAGATTAAGCAATTCCCATACAAATTTATCAGCTAAAGAAAAGAACATACACACACACACAAATATACATATGAACATGTGAATATACACACACACACAGAACTACTGGAGGAAGAGAGGGGAAAGTAAAGAGTAAAAAAGGATATATCTCAGTAGATTACATGTCAATATCTGCATTTCCAGTTTATGAAAAACTGGAAGACTTTTCTCACAGGGCTTCCACTTCCAGGGCACAAACTGGCTGCCCTGTCCTCTGTCATTCATACATTTTCATTACTGCCTAGTCCATTTGAATTTCTGTTTCATATGCTGCTATATTCTTTGAATCCTTTATAAAGAAATGGTATTTGTGTAGAATTGAGAACTTTTGAAATAATAATAATTGATTTTTTTCCCCTTAAAATCATTCCATTACTATGAAAAGAATAAAGTGGATGGTACATATATTCTGTGCATGCCTGTGTTTTAGGAGAGTGTTTAAAAACTTACGTAGGTTTGAATGATACAAATTAATTTTTCCTTAAAAATAGTATTTATTTACTCACAGTAGGAATTTATTTGAGTTGAAAGGTATATTCCATCTCTTAAAATTTTCCAAGTTGCATAATTATCTAATTATACAAAGAAGGCTAGAAAAAATGATAAACATACCATAAGCTTTTGCCCTGGTTCGGGGGAAAAAATAACAAAATCGGCTTCGATGTTAAGATGAATGTGTCCTTGATCATCATAAATATCTCCCAGTTCTCCCACAACTTTGATGTTATCATATGCAATAGGGACACCTAAAAGGCTGTAAGAAGAAAAAGTTGATAATAGTATCTTTTATCTTCTTTTATTTATGTTTTTTTGGAGACATGGTCTTGCTCTGTTGCCCAGGCTAGGGTGCAGTGACATGAACAGGGCTCACTGCAGCTTCAATCTCCTGGGCTCAAGTAATCCTCCTGCCTTAGCCTCCCAAAGTGCTGAGATTATAGGTGCGCATCACTGCACTCTTTCAAACCAGGTCATTTTCATACTTATTATGCTAAGAGTCCAAAACTTAAATATCTCCTAAGTACACCACCCATGTCAAAAACAATAGTATATGATTAGTCTGTAATAACTCTATTAGTCCCATTCACAAATGGATTCTGACATGTTGGCTAACATGTCAGAATGATGATTCAAGATATTCAGAATGATGATTCAAGATATTCAGAAACAAAATGTCCAATTAATGCATGAGCAGTAAATCAACCCTTTTTCTCTTGCCAAGTCCCATTCTTTCTATCCTATTTGAATTCTTCAAGTCATGCTAGGATAGAAAGAATGGGACTCAGCAAGAAAAATGTGTATTTTGTGATCATGACTGACTAAGAGGCAATTTTGGTATAAAGTCAAAGCCCCTGAATGTTAAAATCAATGACTTAATAGAGAAAATCTCAGGCTTCAACTGTTGCTAATAAAAGCAAATGTTAATACAACTACATTATTTATGAACTAACACTTTACGAATTAACAGTCAGGATTAAGGGATGACTATTAAGGAGAAAGACTTAGCGGTAGGAGGCAGAGGGTGCAGTGAGTAGAGATCTTGCCGCTGTACTCCAGCCTGGGCATTAGAGGGAGACTCCATCTCAAACAAATTAATAAAAAACAACAAAACAAACAAATAAAGAAAACCTGGTGGCTTCATTATCATACCACTACTTCTTAGAGAAAAATTCCATGACTCCCTTAGGCAAAGCTGAAATCACTCCTCTACTCCTATAGGACAACTCTTTCTCTGTTCTTAACCTAATTGTATTGAACCTATCCGTAGTATGTTTGAATTTCGCACGACTCTAAGGACTTTGATGGCAGATTTTTTGTTAAACTCAATTAAACTTCTAGCACAATTTACATAAAATAAGGGAAATAATTTATCCCTAATAGATATTATTTACTAAAACAGCCAGAAGCCATAGAAAATAAACTTTAAGAACTACCAAATTAGGAAAATCCTAACTGAAAGACTTACTTGGGAAAGAATCTTCTGAGGTTTTAATTTCTGCATGTGGCATTCCTAAGTTGGAATCATCCTATCACTAAGGCAATGTTAGGGACACAGAAAACAGAGTTGGAGAATAGGAAGAAAAAGTAACTGCTATACTAGACAGAAAAACAAAAATTAAGACTTTATTTCTCCTAATCAAATCTCTCAACTATCAGAGAGGGATTCTCAAGTGGAAGGAGGACTGTGGTCCCCTGTGGGGCGCGGGGCGGCAGGGGGTGGGGGGGCATTTGGAAATTTGTGATACTATTTATGGTTATCACAAACTTTGCAGAAGCCAGGGAAGAAAAGAGTCTGCCATGTACAGGACCGTCCTGTACAATGCGGAAATATTAATAGCTCTGACTTTTGAATAAAGGGACAAATCTGTTTACAAATAGCTAGGCACATAATTTAACTCTTAAAAAACATAAACACAAAGTCATCTTTTCATAGTTTTAATATATATTAAAATTATCAGGAATTCAGCAATATATAAATTCAAGGGAGATTTTATTAAAAGTCATCAGACACGTGAACACAGGCACCCAACACTATAAACTTTTTCCTCCTTCGCTTTTGTTTTTCAGATGCCATCCTAAATGGGTATCAGAGCAAGGTGGTAGCCTCATTTTAGTTCTTTAGCAATATATATTCAATGTTTTGTCCCTTATTAGCAAAGCATAGTTCAAAGCGTGGTGCCTGATTTGCACCTGAATAAACAGGAGTCTTCAGCATACCCAAATAATGTGGAAGGAATGGTGTCCAGATCTGTTCAGAGCCACTCTGGGTGACTTTCCCCTAGCCTGTCAAGTGCAGGCAATATTGGTGACAGAAAACAAAATAGTTGCTTGTGTTTCCAGATGTTATGACCACTTTGTATATTCTTAAATCTCTCAAAACCATCCCCTCTAATCATTTTCTCTTAGACAATTGTAACATTATCTTAATTCGTCTCCTTGTCCACTTTCTCATCCTATTTGGTAGCTAACCATTAAGGCTACCAAGTGCTGTTTCTTAAGGTGCAAATCTGATATGCCAGGACTGCAAACCTGTGCTGCTTTCTCAAAAGTGTGTGAGGTCTCAGAGTTACAGGGTATTGAGAGGATGAAGCACTAACCCTGCCTAAGAAAACAGAAACACAAAAGGAAAAACAACCCCACCTTTCACCCCAAAAACCAAAAACTGGCAATGGCAGGAAGGGAAAAGCAAAATGGCCAACCACTCTGAGTCGTTTTTGACCCCCTGCCCTTCTCTCCAGTGACTTCCAATGCCTTTCCCCTGACATAAACCTTATTCTACTTATATAATGGATACAGCTCTCTAGGCAAAGCATACCAGTTCACATCCAGTATCCGTTTGTTTATGCCACTCTCTTTGCCTGCAATACTATCACGTGAAAGTACCCGTTTCCATCAAGTTGTTCTCAAAGGTCCCAAGATCCAAATTCAACACTCCTTATCTTATTAGACTTCTATCAAATTTTAACACTTCACTTTATTGGCTTGAATCTGTATCTCTACTACAGCTTACAGCTCCTTGAAACAGGGATTTTATTTTTTGTTTGTTTTTATACCTCAAGTTCTCGGTATATAATATAAACATACAAGAACTGTGTGTTGGTGCTTGGCAGAAAAGGTATATTCCAGGCATGCTTGATTATTAACCTCTGCGTGTAGGTCCAGGATCCCTTAAGAAAGTGGTAAAAGCTTTGGATACCAGTGGCCAAAAAACTTCACATGGGAATTCCTGAAGAGCAATCATGAATTCCTAGGAAATCCACTCACTCTAGTTTTAGAACCCTCCCTTTTGAACCAAAGTATAGTCCAGAGGAATACTAAAGCACATGCCCACACCCCCTCCACACACATACTTCTGTAATTCGGAGTTTTCAAGTTGCTTTTGAATACTGTAATATAAATGAATACGTTTTGGGGTTTTCTCTCCCAAAAGCAACAGGCTTACTAGTTCGATTGCATAAATCGTCTTAACAACAACAACAACAACAACAACAACAACAACAACAAAACAAACACTAAACTAATGGCATTTTCATTATCCTCAGATTAGATCCAAGAGAAGAGAATCTGGGGAAATTACCAGAGCAAAATCCAACAAAAACGTGCTTCATGTTTTACAAGTAGGACAGTAGTATTAATGCTTCATGTGCAATCTTCTATGGAATAAGAATCTACTTAAGCACTGCAAACCAAATTTTTATTGTCAAATGAGAAAACATCATCCAGAAGGGGATAAATGAAACGTTCAATGCCATAGAGAACGGGGCCTACTAGGTCTCCAGACCCCTGCTCTGTTCCTAACCCCACCATCAGGGATCTGGAGCGAGAATCTCCACTTCCTCCGCCCACACGTGAACTTCACCTTTAAGTTTTCTTCTCTATGAAAGGGGCCCTGTATAGATTTTTACCAGAGCGGTACTGGCCCTGAGGGACGGATCGCGACTCTAGAATTCCACGAAGCTAAGCTCTGGGGGGCAGTGTGGCCTTTACCATTTCCCCTTTTTTTGCTACGTCATCAGCACATCCACCTGCTGGTACTTCCCGTGCACAAAAGAAGGAACAGGCAAAGAGATCGGTACCTCTCAGAATAGCGCAGGAGCTCGGCATCCAGCTGTTCTCGAATGCCAGTGCGTTTCCTGTTAAGGTAACGGGGCGACAGAGCGATGTGCCTTCGGTGCGGCCCGGCCACCAGGCATGAGTAGCGACTGTTCACCAGCGAACAAGCAGTGGCATAAGTCGGCAACTCTAGGCAAGGTAGGACGCCGGCCTGCCCTACCAGAGACCCATCAGAAGCCGCCTTTTGCCGCGGCGTCTCTGAACAATCCGTAGCCATGCTGCTTGTCAAGGTTCCCGCGGCGCGCACCGTTGACGCAAGCGCAATGGCCTGTCCCCGACGACGCTCTTTTACGTCATCCACCAACTGCCACGCCCCTAGGAATTTCCCTTCCTTACGCTGCATTACGCAGTGTGGCCAGCAGGGGGAAACAGCGTTTTCGCGCTTCGAAGAGGAGTTTAGAGCCTCAAGTATATATTGAGCATGCGCGAAGCCAATCAACTGCTTTTTTGAGGGCGGGCGGATGTGTGTTTTCCCACCGAAGCTTACTGGATTTAATAGGTAGAGGGGTTCTAAGTTTGATAATTTCCAGTAGTAAGGTGGTTTGGTACAGTTTTACGAACTTGAACTGTACAATACAGAATCAAAATATTTATGGAGTATATTTTATGCAGTACCCGAAATCCTAAGCAACAGCTCAAATAATTCAAATGCAACATGTCTGAAAACGATACCTCTATTTCTCTCCTGTTCCGCTTCTCTCCTCATTAAGCAATTGCTAAATCAGGGAATCACATCACAGCCAAGGTGTCAGCCTCGGATCCTCCTGTATGGCCTTAGGTGGAAATACTGTATTTGGACACTATCCTCTTCCCCTGCTGCCAAAACTTCCGGACACACTGCCTGTGGAAGCCTAGCTTAATGGTCGGGAGGACACTCTGGGGCAGCCAGAGCTTCCCTGAAACACATATGATCATGTTGCCTCCCTCTAGGATAACACAAACTCCTGAAAATGGTTTATAAGTTACCAGGCCATTTTGTGATCAGCTCACAGCTTCTCTCTTCAGCTTCGTTTGTCACACTCCCCACCCTAATGTTATCATGCTCCTTGATCCACTCTCAGGTCTCTCTTTCTTTAGTCTTAAGCTCTTCCTTCTACTAGGGAATATAACAGCATTTTTCACAACGGTAAATTCTACTCATCTATGAATTTTTAGCTTAGATTTTACATTCTGTTCCTTCTCAAAGAGTTTTCAACCACCCTATTTCTCTCTCTCTATAAGGATTAGATAGTTAACCATCTATGTTGGTTTTTATGTTAATTTTATATTAACAGCCCATTTGCTTGCCTGTTCCATCAATAGATTCCTACAGTCACTAAAGCGGGTACCATAATATCTGTATTGTTCACTACAGTGGCCCCCATGTCTCATCCCTCCTCCAAAGAAACAAAACCAAAACTAAGAAAAACCCAATCAATGCATTCTGAATGAATAACCTGATAATAAGTTAATAAATAAATGATAAAGAACTCACAGCCTAAGTGGAAATGGGTTACGCTGGGTAAGTGCAAGAGAAATGTATAGCAGTGATGTCAGTACTGACACATTCCCTTCTCTCTTAGATACTGCAAAATGCCTCTAACCTCTCTAAACCTGATTTCTGACTTGTAAAATAGGAAAAGTAATACTACCTTAGAGAGATGATAGGAGGGTCAAACAAGACAAATAAAAAGTATTTTCTTTAATATTCCTTAAATGACTGCAAACTCAGCATGAGATGATAGTCAGATGAAACTGCCCTCAAAATCTAATATTAGACATTTCAAGTCCACACATGGGAAACGTAATGGCCTTTACCTTGATTTTGTTGCAAAGTTCTTTAATAGCCCTGTGCAGGATGCTTGTGTTCAGTGTGCTCAAACTTGGCTCAACCATGAAGTCAGTTAAGGTGAGGAGCTTTAAGAACTCCTGATGCCCAGACAACATCCCAGACCAGTTCAATCAGAATCTCTCCAGGTGACTATGCCTTACAGTCAAGATGGATCTAGACCAGCTGCAAGTGATTCGAATGAAAACAATTTGGCCAAAAAAGAACTTAGTAAAAGACAAGCTGACATTTTTTGACAGTTTGACCAAATGAAAACATTATCTGAAATCAAATACCCAAGTAATAATCTTTCACAGCTACTAAATGTAGTGCACCATGGAGTAATTTTGTAATCCTATGAGAGTCCAGTTGCAGTTAGAAGTTTGCTTGTTTAATTTTGAGACTGATTTTCCAATTTTCAGTTTTTAAAATTCTGGCTTGATTGCTAGCTGCTCTGCATACTCTGCATGATTTGGGAGAGTACAAACTGATTCTGCCTGCATGCCAGTGTTCACCATAATGGAGCGACTTTACAAATTAACCTGTTCCACCTTTGACACAGGGAAGAAAATAGTAATCCCATGAGTTCCTCCTACCTACACTACCCCATAGACATGTACAAAGTTTATTTGTTTAAGGACCTGTAGTTGAGCTAAATCATTTTATTTTTCTCTAAAATTTGTCCAATCAGCTAAATAGCAATAGACTACTTATCAATCAAGGAATCTAACCGAGGCATGACTTATGCCATAACTTATACTTTCAATTACTAAAGATCTTCACTTTTTCTTTGTATATGAACAAAACTGATAAAGAAGGAGATTAGCATAGCACACCATATAATGTAAGTGTATAGTAAGACGTGCCATTTGGATTTATGTAAGTATACCCTGTGATGTTCATGCAATTGACGAAATTGCCTCATGATGAATTTCTCAGAATGTAACCTTGTCATTAAGCCACACATGTCTATACCAGGTATTAATGTTAGTCATCTCTTGAGTGTGAGTTGATGCTTTTCTTTTACTTCTGTGAATTTGTATATATTATTTTCATGTTTTATACTGAAAAAAATCAGAAACTTAATCAGAAGATTACAATTGTTACAGGAAATCCCATAGTTTTAGTTGGTTTAATAGTGTTGGTTGGTGCAAAAGTAATTGTGGTTTTTGCCATTATTCTTAGTGGGAAAAACCACACTTATTTTGCACCAGCTTAATATAAAGTGAAGAGCCTAACCCTAGATGCTAATGTCACATTGCTTGAGTTCAGATCCTGGCTCTGCCACTTACTAGATGTGTGATGTTAGGCAAATTTCTTTCATTTTTCAAAAAGCTGAAATTATTACAGTAGGATTACATGAAGAAATGGAATCACACAGGAATTTTTCACTATGTGAAACAGCTTGAATAAAAAATTTTTCCTATAAAGCGTATTCCATGAAAAAATGCCATTGCATCAGTTAGATTTTGGTACATAACAAACTATCCTCAAATTTAGCGACTTTAAATAAAACTATTAATTTTTCTCATAGTTTTATGGGTACAAATTTGGGTAGGACTCGGTTGGGTTCACTTGTGCATCTGTCCTCATATGTGGCCCCATGTGCCTTGTGTTCCAGCAGGCTAGAATGAGCTTGCTTTCCTGGCAGCCATGCAGATATCCAAGAAAGAGCAGGAAACACACAAGACCTCCTGTCTAGACTCTGGAACTTCCACAATGCCAGTCCAATGTATGCAGTACATCTGGTCTCATATACTTTGTTCAGAGGCTTCTTCTGTCATGTATCAGGTGTATATAAGTCCCTAGGAATGCCCACCCTGGATAAAGAGCAATACTAGTACTGACAGGAAGGATTTAATCCTGCTTATATGGCTGGTTTTATCAAATTGGTGGAATGAGTGTTGAGTGTCAACATCACAATGACCAACATTATCATGGGTAAACTTTATTACAAACCTGCCAGGTGCTATACCAAGTATCCTAGGCAAATCACTGGCAGATAATCTTTATGAATTTATTACAATAATTGCATATATTTACAAATGAGGAGCCTGGATTCTAAATAAATATGTCAGTCTCATGATGGTAGCAATCCCATCTGTATTGCTAACAGTCATATATCCAGGGCCTAAAACATATTTCTTGGGTGAATGAATGAATGACTTATCCAAAATAACCAGCTATTTATCAATAAAGGAATCTAACCCAGGCATGACTTATCCCATAACTTATGCTTTCAATCACAAAAGATCCTCACTTTTTCTGTCCATAACCAAAACTGATGAAGAAGGAAATTGTAGAAATTGATAGTTTATTTAATATCTGTCTTAAAAATGATAAGGTAAGACTCTGACCAAATTGGTAAATATTAACATTTTAGTAGGAGTGGGGAGGTGTCAAATAAGCACCAGTTTCAGCCAAATATATGTAATACATATCAACCAAACGTTTGCCGTAGACCTCGTGTATTTCACAAGTTTGCCAGCAGATGGTAACAATGAGCTTAAATTTGTAAAGTTTCGCTATCGCCTAAGGATTACAGAAATGACAAAAGTGAATTTACAAAAGAAGTCATTACTTTTGAGGCCACATTTGTTATTAAAATATCTGGAAGTCCAAAATTTTCACTGAAGGGTATAATTTTGAGTATTCATAAAATTTAATGAATAAATGCAGGCTACTATATTTGTGTCTCCCTCTGCCTTGACAGTTTTTGTTGCGATTCCTGTTGTCTTGTACCATATTGGCTTTAGGGTGATACTGACAGTATTAACTACAGCTTAAATCAAACCTTTTCTTCTGAAATCTTTGGCACAGTCAAATACACTAAACTCGATGTTTAAAAGTGGAAAAAATACAGAGCCTACCAGAAATGCACATATCTTTAATATAAGGGAAGAATTTTGTTCACGAACAAATTAGTTTTCACTATAGCGTACAGGTTCATCCAAGCACCTTATCAATAAAGCCTAGGGGGAAAGTGATCTTGTTTCTGTTTCTCAGTTACAGCTTTCTGTCCGTCTCCAATCTCCTAGATTTTCCATTCCCTTTACATTCAAGGTTTATCAAACTCAAGTTTTCTTTCAGTTGTCTGAAATCCTTTCTTTGAATTCCTATTTCCAATCTGAGCACATATTTGTCGGCCAAGTGACTAAAAAAGTTGGTTTTCTCACTAGCTGCTGCTGCCTGAGTTACCAAAGCTGGATTTCACTGGCTGATTCTGGAGTAACGAGTTTTGTTAAACCCAAGTGCGTAGAGTGAAATGACTGAAGGTAGCTGTCGAAGCTTGACAACCAGAGAGACAAAGTCTTAGGTTCAAGTGCAGGCACCAGAAAGTGAAATCGAGACAGCATCACAGAACCAGAAATTTGAATCTAAAATCAAAAGAAGTAGATTAAATAAAGGGGAATGGTTCACATGGAACAGAATTGGTGTGTTTTATGGACCTAAGTGAGAGAGTACGTGTGTGTGCCC